TGTAATTAAGCTCCACCCCTCGGCTTACGACGAATAAAAAAATCGTCAGAATTGAGATAGGGTGGGTGGGCGGGGCTTATATTTTGCCTTTTTTCTCTTAATATCATAGCCATCTTTTCACAACAAGAAACATAAAACATGGTTAAAATAGTACATGTTTGTAAGGAAATATGGATTTTGCAATTATGAGACGGAGCCTACACATGTTTTAAATTTCATGTTGTGAAAAGAAGTTTATACAATATTAAAACAAAAAGGAAAAATGTAGGTAAGCCCACCTACCCGCCTTATCTCAATTGTGATTATTTTTTTTATTCGCCGTGAACCAAGGAGGCGGAGCAAAGTACTTATGTCTTTACAAGAAATTGAAAACATGTTTTTGAGTATCGTGTTGTTAAAAGAACACTATGTACATTAAAAAAAAGGCAAAACATACATTTCATTTGTGATGATTTTTTTTAATTCTGACAAACTTTCAATACATTTAAAACGGTAAATTATGCCTTTTTTTCTTAATACGTGTAGATTTATTTCGACAACAAGAAACTTAAAACATGTCTAAAATGGTAAATTTTTGTAGTAATCAACTTAAATCCACCACTTTTCTTCTACAGCCCCATTAAATACGGCAAAAGTTGAACATCAAAGTTACTATCGAGGGCAACTTGATCTTATAAATGACAATTTTCAGCTGTAAAAACAGCCTGTAGCGGAATTTTTGGACGACATGTAGCGGAATTTTACCATTTAAATCTGGCAACACTGGATTACCATTTTCAAATATCGTTATTTCAGTTTTTCTAAAAATAGATCACCCTTCATTTTATTACTGCATCTTATTCTATTTTTTGTTCTCTTTCTTTTGGTTGATTACTTTCTAGAAAAGTAAAATTTTAAGAGACATCGACATAGTAGAAAAATGGGGCCAAAAAATAGAGTAGGATACAGTAATACAGGGTGTTCCATATGAAAGAACTGTTACATGGATATCTGAAAATTGTAAAGTTTTAGATTTTTTATCAAAAAAAAAAAACAAACATACATTACAATTTGATGTATAGTAGCCCAAAAGGCATAAGGTTATATGACCATCATAAAAGTAGTTGACCGCAAATAAATACCCCCTTTGTGTGGTTCGCACTAAGCTTACCGGTTGGCAATAAATCGTCTTCTAAACATTTCTTGCTCACATTTAACAGGGCCGGCTTTCAAAGCGACTGGTTATTTCGGAACCCTTTGTGGCTGCAGGTAGTAGTAGTAGGTAGTTAGATATTTAGTGAAAGCCACCCCTGAACGAACTGACAGCAGTCGGTCGAGCTGCAGTGGACACCTCAAAACCTTTTCTATTGGAAACAACTTAACTTCGACACAATGGGATAATTTTTGGATGGGCATATAACCTTATAGCTTTTGGAGTACTTTAGTTGATAGCACAACAAAATGCGGACCGTTATTTATTCTTCCACAACATATTGTAAGACAGACTTAAAAAATAACCCTATTGTGATTTTTTTGTAAACCCCTCCATTGCAAAAAAAAAATCAAAAAATTAGAATAATGTGGCAACGTCGCATCGGAATTTACAAAGTAAATTGTGGTTGTAAAACCTAACTTTAGTCTTTAACTTTTTTTATTTAACCCAATTTCTAAAAAAAAATCAGTTTTTTTTATTCAAATCATGTTACTAGAGAAGGCACTATTACGATAATGAGATACCCATAGTGGATAGTGTGAAATTTGGTTACTACAAAAATTTGGCGCAGAATTCAGTAATTAAAGTTAATATTGTGTCAAAAAATGAGACCTATAAAAGACTCTCTAGGAAAAAGTTAAACTTAGGCCCGCCAATCCACCCATTTCTCTCATTTTTTTTTCTTCTGAAATAAGAAATAAATCTTACAACAAATAGTACAACAAGCAAGTTACGACTGGCGCTTTTTTTACAACCTAGTTTCTCAGTTACTTACCACTTCCACTCTGCAGAAGAACATATAAACCCCGCACACAAATCCGCGTTTATTTCAGCGATAAATTTTATATAAAAAAAATCTACTCTAATTGAAAAGAAGAAGAAGAGGAAACTTAAAACATGTTTAAAATAGTAAAATTTTGTAGAAAAATATGAGCAAATAAAAAATTCATTACAAATGAGATAGGGGCGGGTGGGTGGGGTTGTCTTCTGTTTCTTAAGATATGCCTATTTTCAACAACACTAAATACCATTTGATACTTTAAGTATTTTATTGTTGAAAGAAGACTATGTATATGTACAAGTACATACTAAGGAAATCAAAGGATTAACCCCACTAACCCGTCCCATCTTAATTGTGATTAATCTTTTTATTCGTCTCGAGGTGGGGAGCGGATTGAAGACCATTACCCTTTTTTTGGAAAAAGAGTTTGAGGCGTGAAAAATCGGCTCCACTGTCACAATTTGTACTTATTTTGTAAAGTCCTTTCTTATGTATTTTTCAAAATTATATTTTAAGGCTGGCGTCTGGTTCGGTTTAGCCCTATACTAAATACATTGAAAACATCGTCGCGGTTTCCGGAGTTGCATTTTAAAAATATGAGATATATCGCTTTAAAAAAATTATATTTCGAATTAACAAATTTCAGTCCAGGGGACCTCCATATTTATATTCATATCTAGTATGCAGTTTTTACAAAAAAAAATTATAAAGTTGAACAACTTTTACATCACATTTTAACCGGCACATTGATGCATTTTTTGACGAAGTGCTGAAGTTTTTTGCATTTTGAGATAGGAGGTCCCCTGGGGAAAAGTGTCAGCTTTCTTTTGATACCATTTATAACATTAAAAAATCCACGACTGAGGTAAATAACTGGCGAAAAGTCAAAATCTATTGAAACGAGAAATCGGCATTAAACGAGCTGTGATGCGGTAGCAGAATGCAGGTTTACTTAGATTCTGACTTGGTTGGAGATTTCAGTATTTTAAAAATGCAATTCCGGAAACTACGACGATGTTTTCAATGTATTTAGTATTGGGCGAAACCGAACCAGACGCCACCCTTAAGGTACATTTTGATCAAGAAGATTTCATCCAGGACTTAAAATTAAAAGAGGACGCTGTACCTAAATATTTTAAAGCTCAAGATTTCAAATATAAAGCTCCATTTAAAATTATCAATCGAGAAGACACAATTAATGAGAAAAATATCAAGGTCCAAAATTCCGTATCATTGATAAACAATTTACAATTATTAACGCAAATCGAGTGTTTAGAAAAGTACTACCAAAATTATTTATTGCAGCAGAACGAAGACGAAATTTATTGTTTAGAAGAAAAAATTAACAGTTTAAATTTAGAGAATTAAAAAATTAATAACAAACTGTCCAAAATTTTGCTTGGTTTAGACTATTTACATTTATATTTTATATTTTCCTTCTTACACATTCTATTTTTTGTATTTTTATCTGATGTGCTATTAACCTATGTGCTATATGTAATATGGCGAATAAAACATCACTGTCATTGTCACTACAAATGAAGAAAAAACCTTTGAAATATAAAGTGTAGATCGAATAATTTATAGAACGAAAATAACAATTTATCTGTTTTCTCACCGAAGATTCAAGAAGGAAGTGTGGGATTAAATAGAGACCATTTTCGGGAACGATTATTCAGTCAGCGAGTCGAATCCAGTGGATGAATTCAGTCAAGTTGCGCCGGAATTATTTTGTACATAATCGCTCTGTAATAAGTCGTGTAAATTCGAGTCACTAAGAAATACATTATTGAGTTTTACCCACGCCGATATTAAGTACCTACCCAACGTAACAATACATAAATTGTACAAATCAAAAAATTGTATTTAAATTCTCTTTTACTTATTGGGTAACACCTTATGGTATTGAAATGAAACCAACAAAAGGAATCACAGTTTGTGATAAAAGACAAATTCTTGTCATCGATTTACCAAATTCATCTTAAGCTTAAAACGTGTGCAAGGTTTCAGAGCAATAGTTTTGTAGTTTCTAAGTTAAATTGTAACTTCTTGTTGACTTTTTTTCCAAACAATTTACATACATTTAGAACAAGTGACAGATGACACCTGACTGACAGAAGACAGAATGATAGATAGACGGAAATAGGCCGACATTTTCGTATTGTACAACCCGTTAAACGTGTATAAAACATAAAATTAACTATTAAATGGATCCTATTAAAACACCAAAGCAAATCACAAATTTTTAGTTAAATATTAGTTTTGATTAAACGACATTTACCAAGCTTCAATGAAAGTGTCTGCAGTATAATTACTCAAAATGACGTTTTTTGACCCCATGGTAGTAAAACTATATTAACCATGCCTGTTATTTAGTTGCCTTTGAAAATTTAAATACCCTTCAAAAGGTCTGCCTATTTTGGATTAAATTTACTGAATAATAGATAAAGTTGCGCAAATTCAAACAGTGTGAACAACTTGTTGACGTGCCATTTATAATACATTCGTTTCTAAAATATAATTTCAACAGTAAAGCTAGTTTTACTTCAATTTTTAATTTAAACGTGATTGCAAGTTTTATTCTGAAACAAAAATTTTGAATACCAAGTATTCAATATGTAGCTATTAAATTGAAAACTAGTAAATTCAATTATGACGTTTGCAAGCAATTTTGCCTCATTTGTATGTACCACGTGTTGCGAAGAGTTTTTATTAATTAATTACAGTTAAAGTCAAAAGTACAGTTCATCTTATGTTCTTGTTGATGTACAACTCGTAAATTAATCTTGTACCTTATTTGGTGTATTCTCGATAACTACTTTATTTTAGTTGTAAGCTGCTAATTATACAATTACCAGCTCCCGCATTCGTCCACATTTTCTTTACTCGGGTGGGTCTTCACGACTTCCTGAGCCGTCTTCTGTTCTCTAATTAATTGTCCTCACTTCATTACCTCCGCATAAATTACACACCATTACCATTCATCATCAACCTGTTCCATCACCAATAAAACATTCGTACTTCCAGGTGTACGGTTCCTGCTCTGCCCATGTCCTCGGCGACGAATGCAACAGCGACTGGGAATGCAAAGAGAACATTGCGGGATCGATCTGTCACAGGGGAAGATGCTTATGTCAGCCCTTCTACGCCCGAGTCAACCAGACAGCATGCGTGCAATGTGAGCACGACTCAAAAGTCTTGATTGAGACTAAAGACGATCTTTTTCAGCGACGCTGCTGGGCTACGACTGTATTGTTCCTGAACAGTGCTCGTTGAAAGTCGCCAACAGCAGTTGTCTGGATGGGACGTGCCGGTGCGTCGATGGATTCTTGCAATTCAGGAAACACACTTGTCTGGGACGTGAGTATAATTGTAAAATTGGAGGATCGGGGGGCGTGAGTGCGTGACGGATAAAAGTTAATTGTCCGAGCGGCAATTAAAGAAAGATAATTGGGTAAATTAGTGACTGCAGTATTGAGTAATGAGTGGGTTATCTCGGATCTTGAAACTTGAACAGTGTTTGTGGTTTTTTCTTCACTTTGCCAAAGGTTTTTTGTAATGTAGTAAAGTTTGAGATGACGTCATCAAGGTTTTGCAACGGAGGAACAAATATATTTTAATTAGCGATTCAGGGGGGTTGGTGTAACGAAGATACGTGTTGTTGAGGGTTGAGGGCAGGATTAAAGACTATCCCCCTAGTAAAAACCGGAATTATATGCAGAAAAAAACTGAAAATATATTTTAAAAACCTTACTGTTTAATATGTATAAAAATGCACTTAACATTAAAATATGCAATACATGCAAAAAATTAGTTAAATATGTAGAATATGCAAATACATTAAAAAAAAAACTAAACAACAAAATTGTTGCATTGAAAAACTGTACAAGAATGATGACCCACATATTAAGGTGCATTACATGGTCTATAGAACTGAAATAAAAACTAAAAAGCCTTTAACATACAAGGCTTTTAAAGTTTAAGAATGTGACAAAGATTAATAAATCTGAAATAAGATGTATACATGTATATTTTCAAAAATTATATTATATAAAAAAATTAGAGATAAGCTAATTAGCTAGAAGTTACATATTTTCAAACTTTGATTTATTAAAACATAAATTCTATCATATGTGTAGTATAATATAAAAAGAAATCATCAGTTGCCTTTTCAGTAGATGTAATTTTTTTTGTATTGTCTTGTATTTAATTGTATCTGTAACATATAGTTTCCATCTTCACTTTCCAAAAACCGTTGTCACGATTTATAATTTGTAATTTTAGTGATTCTGGTTCTGAAGTTCAGACAGGAAGTACACCTTGTTGCCGATTTTTTATAGGACATTTATTCGTATCCTCAAAATAATGTTTTGTCGTCATAAATGATCTTCTAGTTATTAAATTCGTTCCCAGGATTTTTTTTCCAAATTAATTAAAATGATTTTAAACATTTTTGTCAAAATTAACTACAATTTGTATCTCATAAAATCGAATGATTACCAAAATCTACGTCCTTTTAATTTTATTTATACTCAGAATAATAAAAATGTTTTCAAAATAGTAGGTCTGTCTGCAGATAAATCGATTTGTTTTATTCAGTTGTTATTAAAATACTTATTAATAACAATAAATGTATTTGTTGTTATCAGAATAAAACGAACCTTATACAATTTTTGCCACTTTTATGTCGCTATCGATTTTTATTAGAAACTCCTGTACTTGTGATACATGAATCCGTGTTGAGTTTTTACCCTAGACAGAAGCACGCTTCTTTAAATTACTGTAACGAAACATACATGTCTTTTTTTTAACCTTCGACCAACTTTTATCTTGAAGTTATATATATATGGCCTATTATAACTTATTTTTCAATCCCTGAAAGTAAGCTGAAGAAGTATTGTAATAGGTTCTCTTTGATGAATGGCGTCTTTCATGTTTTCTCGACTTTTCATGAGCCCCAGAGTACGAAAAGTAGGTCTCCCGTTTCCGTAAGTTATAGGATAGGTGTCAAATTTTCAGTCAAATTTCATAGTTTTCCAAAAAGCCGGATATGTTGTTACTATTCTTAAGGGGCGAACGAAGTGACTTTCTCACTTTGAACCAATTTTTTTATTTGAATTTCTATTAATTTATTAAAAAATATTCGCATTTGTCTAAGAAATATGTATTTCACCTAATTTCAAAATATAATAGTACCTATGATAGTTGATAACATACTGTTACGTTGAACGGGTATTTAAAATCGACGTGGGTAAAGCTCAACAATTTATTTCTTAGTAACTCAAATTTACACAGCGATTAAGTACAAAACAATTCCGGCGCAACTTAACTAGACTCTGTCTTGACTGAACCAACTGAATAATAATAATCGTTCCCGAAGGTGGTCTCTATTTAAACCCATACTCTCCTTCTAGAGGAATAGACATCGCGACTTCCGCTTCCAGGCTTTTCTTTAGCGAACGCCGCTCGGCCACCGTCACCGACGATGAGTCACCTATCATCGACGCACATACTAGAAAACCCATAGGCGTCCTACCGGGGCGGCATATGGGTTTATTTCGTAACAATATTAACAAAATTGTTTGATACTCCTGATATTATCATTTGTCGTAAATTAGATCATCACATCACCATGTAATTCTATAAAGACAATTCTTATTATTTGATAAACTGTAATATTTTCAGGTGATTATACATAGATTTACAGATGATGCCTTGGAAACTAGTAATTGCGCGATAATAAGTTATAATTTAGATAGACTTATTGTCACATCTTAGGATGTTGTTATTTGAATTTTTTTTAAATATTAAAGAAAATTATCTACATATAAAGCTCTACACCATCAATAAAACAAAAAACACTATTTAATTTGATTTAATTTAAAATTTAATCAACCATTCTAAAGTTTAAACTTCTATCCTTTAAAGTAAAAGACGGTAAAAACAACTGAGCCAACGTAAGCTGCGAGTATGGTAAGCATTCAAGTACATTGTCAACGGAACGCCCGTTACATCTTACAGGTTAATTTAAGTTTAAAAAAAATGACGGATCAAGATTTACAATTCTACACGCCGGAAGTCAATTTGAATTTTTAGATGGTTATAACTTTTTATTAAATTCGAAAAACAATGATAGTGGTTAGCTCAAAACAATGGACGGAGCACTTTTTCAAAATTGGGTGGTTAATCATCTTATTCCTGCTTTGGCCAAGTTGAAGTTGTTGTGCAAAAAAAAAACTACGTATATTAAGAAAAAAAGACAAAATTTAAGCCCCGCCCACCCACCCTATCTTAACTTTGAAGATGTTTCTATATCTCGGGAGCCAGGGGGCGGAGCGTAATTACAAAATCCTCTTTTCGTGCAGAAATTGACCATTATAAACATGCTGTAAGTTTCTCTCTGTGAAAAAAAAGAGTATGTATTTTAAGGAAAAAAGGCAAAATATAAGCCCCGCCCACCCGCCCTTTCTCAATTGTGATGATTTTTTTATTTCTCGAAAGCCAGGGGGGCGGAGCGTAATTGCAAAATCCTCATTTCCTTGTAGAAATTGACCATTTTGAATATGTTTTAAGTTTCTCGTTGTGAAAAGAAGGCTACTTATATTAAGAAAAAAAAAAATGGTCGAAAGTTGTTTCAACAGAACTTTCTTCACTCCTGTGAAACATAAAAAATAAACACCCCATCAGATTTAGGAATTTAACTCCTTACTATGGAAATTTTCAATTTAACAAATGACATATCCTTTATTTTTCGTGAGCCAGGGGGCGGAGCGTAATTGCAAAATCCTAATTTCCCTGCAGAAATTGACCATTTTGAACATGTTTTAAGTTTCTCATTGTGACGTATATTAAGAAAAAAAAATTGGTCGAAAGTTGTTTGAATAGAACTTTCTTCACTCCTGTGAAACATAAAAAATAAACACCCATTCGGATTTAGGAATTTAACTCGTTACTATGGAAATTTTCAATTTAACACCTTTTAAATTTAAAAAGTTTTTACAAATAGAGGCAAAATCAATCTTACCTTAGCAAGTACTAGCTCCGCACATCCGCTCCCTATTTTCTCAGAGGATATGTTATTTGCCAAAATAAGTCTTATCTTAGCAAGTACTAGCCCCGCCCACCCACCTCCTAGTTTCACAGAGGATATCTCATTTGCCAAAATAAATCTTATCTTAGCAAGTACTAGCCCCGTTCACCCGCTCTCTATGTTCTTAAAAGGTATGTTATTTACCAAAATTCTAGTATTTGCTAAGATAAGACTCATTTTGGCAAATAACATAATCCTCTGAGAAAATAGGGGAGGGGTGGGCGGGGCTAGTACTTTCTAAGATAAGACTAATTTTGGAAAATGACATATCCTCTGAGAAAATAAGGGGCAAATCTAAAAAATTTGAATGCAATGATAAATCATAAGTAAAAAGTCATCATATTTTGCACATTTTGGGTAGAATTTATTCGGCAAAATTTTGAGCTGACGTCATCAATTTTTTGAAGGGGTTAAGTAAATATATTTTGATTAAAAATTTATTATGCTTATCAAAACTTTAAAATATTCGCAAGTTTTCAAAGCATTCGGTTTTTATAGATTCAAAATTAAGTTGCAAAATCTTGTTTTATAATTTTTTTTCTCCAAAAATCTGGACGCTTCGGGTAAAAACTCAAGACGGAGTCACAAATTACATGTGTAGGACTATGTTATTTTATACAATTTAAAATTCATTTAGTATGAAATGTACGATTTTGAAGTGGCATCATCACATTATTGGTGGGGATGATTAGACAAATTTTGGTGAGCGTTTTACCATGTACATGATATTCCTAATATAAATACAAAATTTGACAACAATCGACCCAGTACATTTGGACGGCAGACAGACGGACAAACCAACAGACGTACAGACGAACAGACAGACAGGCGGAAACAGGAGATTGTAGGGGTCATGAAAGGTCGAGAAAACGTAAAAGTAGAGAGACGGCCGACGGACTCGCTAGTCACTAATAGCAGTAGCGGCTCGTGGTCCTTTCGTTAGGTGAGGCAACAATTTCGTTTCAAAATCAGCAGGTATTAATTAACATGTTGGCAATTACTTTTGTTAAAAGACAGATTGTTTATTCGTTTTTATGAAAACAATACAAATAGCTTTGAGTCAGTAACACATCTCTATTCTATATGAGTACACTTCTCGAATAAAAAACATTTAATTGCTTCACACAAACCAACGAGAAGGTTTAAAGACTATAGAATTTGCTTTCTTAGCATTAAATATTAATTCATATGATCTAGGGCTAATTTAAATATATTAATCAATTAATTAATAAAGTTCTCCTCAAATCTGGATGAGAGGTTCTAAATCTTT